GACGAAGAAAACCGAAGGCCGAAAATAAAGAAAGGAAAGAATAAACCTGTTAATGTCAAATGTTATTACCTAGAAATTTCTGGAGCCAAAAATGTTGCCCGGACACCAGACTTCTGATTTTATAAGGGTCTGCCATTCTTTATAATAGTAATCAAAGAGATCACTAACGGGGGATTCAATGGCAGTGGCATCTACAATACCTCCACGGGGGTCAGGCTTAACAGTTTCTTCCTTAAGGTAAGCATTTTTCGCTTCATCATAATAACATTTGACATTAACAGGTTTATTCTTTCCTTTCTTTATTTTCGGCCTTCGGTTTTCTTCGTCGATCTCATCATTAGCATCGGAGTCAAAATCATCCTCTTTACTTTTGATGTGCTAAAATCCTGGTAAGAATACCACTCATCTTCACTAGAACTATCCGAGTCAGGGTCATAATAAACTAATGGGGATAGATTATCTAAATTAGGGAGAGGAACAAGAATTTCTCTACATTGACAATCCCTAGAGGGCTGAACTGAAGAGGTAGAAGGTAAGGGGTCATGAACGTTGAGCAAGGGGGAAATAGAGCCGCTTGTATGAGATGCTAGCGTGTTTACGGGAGGGATATCATCGTCTTTATTATTAGGGGATAGAGGTAGGAGGGGTGAGTTAAGAAGGGTATAATGTACGTTGATGGAGAAATCCAAAATTGGGGTATTGGGAGGGCTAGGTAAAGGTAAGCGATTAGGGGTTTCATTTTCATCTATTTCAGAATATCCATAAATTCTATCTTCTAACTCCTCTTATTCATATTCTTCCTCACTATCCATTCCCTCCTCTTTGACCTCTTCTTCTTCGAATTCCTTCTCGACGTCTCGAACCGTGATGGGGCGAGTATTACAAAGTGGGGTGTGGGTGATCTTCGTGAATTCTATGTGAAGGGTAAGTTCCTTACCCTTCTAAGTAAGGGTCATTTCTGAGGCTACCCAGTCAATCCTAGCTTGAGCTTTGGAAAGCCAATCGTTCCCAACAATGGCTTGATATGACCCGGCATCCGTTACGACAACGTCAATAGGGATTTCTATTTCTCCGACCTTAAAGAGAAAGTTGGAGATCTCTCCTAAAGCTCTCTTACTCTCACCATGGACATTTATCATGTTCACTGTGGAGGGACGTTCAACCTTGATACCTAGATCCCGAAAAAGATGCGACGAAACGACACTTCCTGATGAGCCGCTATTAACAATTAGGGGAATGGTGCCACCTAGGACCTGAGCATCACAATAAAGGTCGGTGGATTTTTTTCAAAGCTGATACTAATATTTACTTTTACTTTTCTTTTACTAGGGGCCTTTTTCTTTTGCAGACTCCGACCCAATTCGCCTTGTAACGCCAGGGCAATTCGAAAGAGTTGGCTATACGTAATATTAACAGGCTTATCCCAGATATCTGCGAAGATCGAGTACGGGGAAACCAAGGATGCAATTTGGGAGAGTTCATCCTCTTGAACTTTCTTACGAATGATACGTTTAGGCTTCGCAGCTACAACCTTGGCGGGAACAACAGGGGAGTCCATAACTGTTACAGGGAGGTCTATTGCCGGATCAGGGAAGTTGTCAACCTTTTCTTCTTTATCTGCTTCTTCCTCTATTAATTGTTCCAAAGTTTTCTCTTCCAATCCCTTCTCTTCTAATCCTTCTTTTCTTTGTTTCGTAGGGGGAGATTTCCACTAGGTCACTGAAGGTCCTGTTTAGCCACAGCAAACAAGGGAACGTCCTCCGCGGGGATACTGACATAAGTGTGGTGATTATTTGTACCACGGAGGGATTTAGACTAGCGGCCAAAGCTAATAAAGCCTGAAGAGTTTCTTGCTGCCGATTCTCAGGTGCATTGTTAGGTCCTAGATTTACAGGCACAGATAGTGGTGGATAGAAAGGAGGATTAACAGGGGCTTGAACCGGAGGTAGGTTTAGCTGGTTTTGTGGAACTGAATTAGGGGGGAAATTAGGTTGGGGATTTGTTATTCGACAATTCTGGCTAATATGACCAGACCAACCACACCTATAACACACAGGCTGGCTGATATTACCCGAAGTAGATGGTCTTCTCTTCTGTAACTGCAGGAGCATTTTGTTAACAGCCTCAGTTAGTTTTTCAATCACTGAATCAGAGGTAGGTACCGGGGGTTGGACCCCACTAAGAGTGGCAGAGGTAGAGTGTGCTGAATACAAGCCATTTAATGAAGTGGTAGAATAAGGGAGACTCTGACGGCAGGCACTCTCATATGCCTTGGCACACTCATAAGCAGCCTGAAGAGTATTTGGGGTGGAGGGAGCAACGGCTAGGACAAATTCGGGTCGTAGACCATTAAGAAAAATTTGAGCCTTGGCTGTTTCAAGGTACTGATGACCCCCAGATTCAACGCGTCGAAGGAGCTCCTGAATGGAGGTATAGTAGGCATCGATGTTTTCATTCAATTGTTGCTTGTGGGTAGCAAGCTAAGCAAACCATTTCCCTTCCAACGTAGGGGTACGAAAATGGCTAATAAAGATGGGGCAGAAACTTTGGGCAGGATTAGCACCGTTGTTCCAAGCATTAATGGGATTGGGAAGCCTTTGGATAGTGGCCCACCAGGTTGTGACAGACCTTTTGAGGTGGGGACGACAACAGCAATCTTTCAATTATCATTAATTAGATTAGCTGCGAAAGCCTTTTCTACCTCATCAAGCCAGGTCATTGGATCTTGGTCCCCTCCAGTGAAGTAGGTGTAGGAAACAAGGTTTAACTTTTAATGGGGAACATTGATTTGAGTGGCAGGTGTGGCTTGCATTTGTTGAATTAGTAAACCGATCTGTGTGGCCAAATTGTTGAGGGGATTATTTGGATTGGACGGTTGAGCGGGGTTTGGCTGCTGTAGGAGGTTGGTGGGATTTTGTTGAGCCATTACTTTTTTCCAGGTTGAGGTGAGTTGTCTATTTACTTTTCTTAAAGTGGGATTCAGTTTGTTATGTTTTAGTAGAGGAGTTTTATACTAAACGTTTGGGAGTGATAAAAATTCGATTCCTCTGAAGGAGGTGGGGATATTAGTTGATTGTTTTTATGATTTATTGGAAAAATGAATGTTCGATATCCACACAACTGGCACCAATTGTAACCGTTGTTGGGAGAGCGAAGTAAAATTATATGGGTAAAAGCCAATTTAAATCATGGAGATGAATGTAAATGGAGAGTGAAGTGGGTCTTTTTATAATAGTATGAAACAAAAGAAACAATGGGACGGCTTTTACGAATACTTAGTATCGACAAAGTACAATGAGGAGGTGGTGCAATAGCAGGTGATGTCGTTAACAATGGTGTTCAGTAGGGTGTTTTCAGAAACAATGATAACAGTTTAAGAATTTTTAAGGGAGGGCGATGATCTTAAAGATGATAATAAGACCAAAAGCAGACGATGGTCAAGTATAACTTTAAGTTCACGTGATGATTTATCGAAATCAAATATCCAGCCAAAGGTGGTGCCTTCTATCACAATTTCTACAAGTTACTGATGTCTACAATGGTATATGGTTCAGAATGCGAGTTTTAATAAACCACGTCGAAGTTATAAGTCAATTGTGTCTGTTGAATTGAGTCTCGATTAGATTTATTAAGGTTATAAGTCAGATTCAAAGGCAAGGTGCGAGGGAGTATTCAGATAAGTGTATATTTTATTCAAGTGAAACAATGTTATGAGGATGGAATGGTTTTGCTTTATTTATTTATGTGATGAACCAATAAATTCTAATCCCCTTCTACTTGGAACCATAGTTCTTTAAATACATTTTAATCTTTAGGAACGTATACACCGCTATTTCGGTGTTTACACCGAAATTATAACGTAGTCATGGAGATTTGGGTGTATACACCACAAAAATAATGTACACACCGAAAAATCTCAGGGCGCAGTCTTTGTATGATCATGTATATGCGATTTTTTCGGTGTTTACGTGATTCAGCTGATTTTTATACATCCATGTCACTAAGCTACCCATCATTACTATTTTTGTTTAAGTTATAAAATCTTCAAAAGAAAATTAATAAATTTGTCATAATTAGGCATTGTTACCAAAATGGGTGGAAAAATTACAAATAGACTATGTACATGCAGATATTTCACCGCAAAAATAAAAAATTTATTTACAATAACAAAATAATAATATATATAAAAAAAAATAAAGTTTTTAATTTGTTACAGTAGTTGTATAGTGGAACTGAGTGTGTAAGGTTGATCAAGTTGGCAAAAGAGAGGTTGTTTGTGATGACCTTAATAGAGGTTCTTGGGTTTGTAGTCATAAGCACAAAATTTAACAAAGTAAGTAGTGTATATATATGTGAGGGCCACAAGTTGGTATAACAGCCAAATAGAGCATAACTGTGTTGGAGGTAGCATTTTGCTACAATAAGCTGATTGTTTTCTATCATCTGGTGGGTACTTGTCATAGTAAGTATTAAGGTTTTTGCCTTAAAATTTGTTTTTGTAAGTGTGTTCCAGAGCACAATAGGGAATTTGTAAAAGCGCAAAGAGGTCTAGCCAGAGTCAGAAGTGTTCTTGTATTATCCAGTACAGGTATATAGGCGGAATTAAGAACTAATGCTTTTTTGAAGTCATTTAAATTAATGAATCCTTTTTCTACAATCTACTTGTAGGTTGTAGAAAGGCTTTGTTGCATTGAAGTAGCAGTATTTATTCTAGTAGTGATAGTTTTTAAGACTACAGCCCTGGCAAGCAATTATTGTGTTATCCGGTTGTAAGATATAATGTCAGGTTTTAAGCGTTTCGTTCAATGAGTTGTATATTCTTCCAATGACTAGTTTGTTTGTAATTATCCAGCCCTTTTTGTTGTGGGTCCAATTAGTTAGAATATAAGGATTTAGCTGTAAAGCTACTGATGAAAGATTTGTAGAGCTTGTTATTAGATCCTGAACTATATAAAACCAATGTGGGCATCGGCCTCTGGGTATCTTCTTAATATTGTGATGAAAATTATTCCACTCTAGAAGTTCAGTGCTAGTTGTGTTTAAGAATTGTTTTATACTAAAGATATTGTATTTGTTTAGTTTCTCTTTGAGGTATGAAGCCCTGGATGGTTTAGAAGAATCTGGTTTATTGGAGTACCAATAAATTCTTTCGGAAGAGGCCAGTTGTCTCCATTGCATGAGGTTTGCAATTCAAGTATATGCAGAGCCAATATCATTTGACAGGTTTGTATATAGGTTTGTATCATTAGAAAGACCGGGAGTTGTGAAAGGATAGAGATGTTGGTATTTGCAGCATCTTGTCGTTGTTGAAGTCTTAGCTTTAGAAAGGATAAGTTAAAGCTAGAGTGGTTTAGGTTTTTTTGAAGCGTCAGAACCAATGATGAAAGCTGGGCTTGAGCTAAATTGTTTAGTGCGTAAATGTCTGGGTTAAATAAGAAAGAGTTAGAAACTCCTCGAGCTAGTTTTGCTTTGTTTTTGACTAGTTGTATACAGGTCTTGTTGAGAGTGTTTGTTTGTAAGGCTAAAAGGAAAGAAGAATATAGTCAGTATAGAAGGCAAGGAGTTATAATGCTATTAATTATATAGATTGCTTGTTTTTCTGTTATGTGAGTAAATTGTAATTTCTTTAGATTAATTACTGCCTCAGCCATAATTTCTTTTTATACTAGTGTTGGCTTTCTATTTGTTGAAAACCATGCTTCTAGGTATTTAAAAGTTGTTCTATTTGTGATTTTAGATAGTTGTTCATTGTCAAAAGTTATAGTTTTGTCCTGATCTGTTGAGTTTGTCACTAGGGTAGACTTTTGTGGGTTGACCTTTATACTGGCAAATCTATAGAATGAGGAGGTGGTATTAAGAATTTTTGTAAGTGATTTCTTGTTTGGTGCAATCTATAGAGAGTCGTCCATGTATGCCATTACTGAGGCATGGATTTCCTTTAGCGATATGAAGCTATTTCACTGTAGAATCCCTGATGCTCTTTATATATTTTTGTTATTAGTAGATCATAGTAGATTTTCCATAATAGGTGAAAAATTGTCTCTCCTTGATCTATACTGTCTTCTACTAAGTAGGGTGCAGTCAGGCCTAGGCTTGTAATCACTTTGTTCTTCTGATTTTGGAGTAGGTTTATAGCTTTCTCTGGGATACATATTCTTGCAAGGGCTTTGCATAGAGTGGGTATATGGATAGAGTCAAAAGCCTTTGACATGTCTTGTGAGAGGATCCAAATTTCTTTTTCATTTATGAATGCATCTTCTAAAATATATGTGAGCTGTGAGATCAGTTTGAGTGTAGACTAAAAAGGAAAAGCTGCATAGTTATAAGGAGAGAGCACTTGATTGCGAATTAGAATATTTGTAAGTCAGTTTGTAAGGATCTTTGTAAAGATCTTTCTGGTATGATCGATTAATGTAATGGGGCGGGTAGAGTTGAGTTCATAATTGTAATATTGTTTCTTAGGTATTGGCCATATATTAGCTATTAGCCACTGGTCTGGGATTATTTTTTGAGCTAAGCAACTGTTTAAAATGTTTAGAAGAGAAGATAGAGCCACTAAGGGTAGATGTTGGAGAACCTCATTTGAAACCCCAAGAAGGCCTGTCGCTTTCCCTTTAGGTGCTTGTTTTATAGTTTGTTCGAGTTTAGTTATAGTAATAGGAGTAAGAAGGTTGTCATAAATAGTTTCCTATATATTGTTTAACGGAAGGTAGGTTGATTCACATTCTTTCCAAAGGATGTTGTTTGAGGGGTTGTTTTTGGTCCATAATTTGAAATGTAAATGCACTGCTTCTTTGATTTTGCCTTCGTTGGTGATTACTTCATCTGGCAGAACAACCTTCTCAAAACTGATCGGTTCGACTCTTCTTTGTAGGATGCTATCTATCATACGACTAGTATTGTCTTTGAAGTCTGAATATCTACAGTGATATAGAATTTAATTCGTTCGCTTTGCTCCTGCCTTTTTTCATAATTGCGTGCTTGCCAGATAATATGTTTATGCTGTTTAACTTGGCTGATGGTGCTATTAAGAGAAAATGTAAGTTGTTTTTGTATTATCAGTAAGATGTCGATATCTACTAAGGTAGTCGCTTTAAGCAGGTGTCGGTTT